TGCTCTCATGTGTACAATTCTTGCCATATTTTTATGAAACTTATATTGTCAGTTTATATCAGCAATGTCTCGGGCAAGTTAAATATCAGTGCCGATCAATCATTTTTAAAAGAGTTATGGCCCTTAGAAATATTAATTATATGGAAAATTGCATTGTTAGCGCTCTCATGGGTACATTTTTTTTTAAAAGTGAAAAAAGGGGGGGGGGGGGGACTTCTGAAAGTGTCGATACAATTTGTTTTTTCTATAGTCTTATAGTGTATATATGTTTTCAATTTAGACTTTTTATATTTTTTCGTTTGGGCTTGTATTATATTTGCCTTCGGGTTTATATGATCCGTTCATCCTATTTTGACTCCTCAAAATTCAAGAGTCTATCCTAAATTGAGGTAAATTGTATGGCTTTCCAAATACCGTTTCGATTCCTAACATCACTGAAGAGACATTAATTGTCGAAATTCGGATATGGTGTACAAAAACCTTTGCACCTTTTGTGTTTGCGGTATACCATCTTTTCCGCAAGTTTATTGTTTTCTGTTTAGTATTTTATTTATAATTAAGATCCATTTATTACATCGGTGATCCGTTTATTTGGCAATCGCCAATGGCAGTCAGCAGGGTTTAAGAACATTTGTTGTTCGACCTGTTAGTCAAATGCGTTTTGTTAAAATATACTTTTTCACTTTTTTGGTCTTTTGGAAAATGTTCTTTGTGCTGTATTTAGACCCCTCTAACAAGAAATTTGTTTTGCATGCACACGTATAAAAATTGCGGTTTTTATCCAACGCAATCATAGGTTTGAACGTTGTTTTCAATTTAGACTTTTTATATTTTTTCGTTTGGGCTTGTATTATATTTGCCTTCGGGTTTATATGATCCGTTCATCCTATTTTGACTCCTCAAAATTCAAGAGTCTATCCTAAATTGAGGTAAATTGTATGGCTTTCCAAATACCGTTTCGATTCCTAACATCACTGAAGAGACATTAATTGTCGAAATTCGGATATGGTGTACAAAAACCTTTGCACCTTTTGTGTTTGCGGTATACCATCTTTTCCGCAAGTTTATTGTTTTCTGTTTAATATTTAATTTATAATTAAGATCCATTTATTACATCGGTGATCCGTTTATTTGGCAATCGTCAATGGCAGTCAGCAGGGTTTAAGAACATTTGTTGTTCGACCTGTTAGTCAAATGCGTTTTGTTAAAATATACTTTTTCACTTTTTTGGTCTTTTGGAAAATGTTCTTTGTGCTGTATTTAGACCCCTCTAACAAGAAATTTGTTTTGCATGCACACGTATAAAAATTGCGGTTTTTATCCAACGCAATCATAGGTTTGAACGTTGTTTTCAATTTAGACTTGTATATATATATATATATATAAACGCCTAAAAAGTGTACACAACAACACCAATAACAAAAAAAGGAACTATAAATGTAATTATTTATAAATATTTCGGATAACAGATATCCTTCATCAGTAAATATGATTGTGATGTTGAATGAATCATATATCAGTCTACTTAAATTAAACTATAACAATCTTGAAATTTATACAATAAAAAAGTCAAACCGAAAATCAGGTAAGACGCTTGCACAATTCTTAATATGTGTTAAACACGACATAGGTTATATGACTAATTACAGCAGAGAGTTCAAATATATGCTTTAAATAAAAATAATAATGTGCGATATGAACTAGCACAATTCTAAAGCTTTAACGGTGACGACAGTTATGATGTTACAAGAACGATTGCGTCAATAAGAATTCCAAATAAACAGCACTGAACGATCTAAATTTGTAAATATTTTAAATTTGACAACGGTAGAGTAGTTACAACAGAGTCTGCGTATTTAAACATCGCAAACAAACGGCCGTTAAAATATGATAATAAATTTTGACTAAGGTTAACTAGTTAAACGTGGCTTGGCACTTTTACATCCCTCAAAAAATTAAGCAATTTAAATTGGTATATTCAACAGATTTAAGAGATGAGTAAAGTAAAGAAATAGAAACAGAGACTGTAATAATAAGTAATATAACCCAAATGTGAAGCACTGCATGGAGTCGAACTACATCTTTTCATTTATCCCATTTGGTGCCAAAGTTGTTAATTTTCTTATCCAAAATCTTTCCCGAGTGAGTCTATCCTCCCTAGACCAAGCAGAGTTGTAGTCAATGATTGTAATGGTCAGTCGATTGAGATCTGCCTTAGTGTGGCCAGGGGATCTCAAATGTCGACTGAGAGGGAGGTCTGGCTTGCATTGGTAGTCGCTACGATGACCGTTCATTCGTTTGTGAAACGGCTGTTCTGACTCGCCAACATACTGTTTACCACATTTACACTGTAGGAGATACACAACATTTGTAGTCTTGCAATTAACATTGCAAAATATGGTGTATTCTGTACCAGTGGAGTGACTGTTAAAAGTCTGGTTAACCAGTATTTGTTTGCAAGTCAGACATCGTTTGTTCCCGCAACCCTTGCAATAGCCCACAGACGAAGAGCCTGCTTGAGAGGATAAATCAGCTCTCACCAGCAAGTCTTTAAGGCTTTTGGGCCTACGGAAAGCCAGTACAGGTGGCTCGGGAAAGATCTTGGATAGTTTAGGATGTTTTTCGATTTCTTTCCAATTTTCGCGGATTAGGTGAGATAAGTTGTCAATTTTGGATGGTAATTCAACACAAAAGGCACCCTCCTGTTGACCTTTTTGACTAGCTTTATATTGTAAAAGTTCATCTCGGCTGATGATGTTAGCACGAGAAAAACCTTTATCAATGTCTTTTCTTTTGTAGCCCCGATGTTTTAGGTGACCGCGAAGTTCTTGTAGTCGTTTTTTTGCAATATCGTTGGTGGAGAAAATCCTTTTTATTCGTATGGCCTGGCTGTAGGGAATGCTCTTGGTGCAATGTTTAGGGTGACAACTCAAAGGAGATAGATATTGATGTTTGTCTGTGGGCTTGCAATACAGATCTGTAAATATGTTTCCATCCTTCACTTGCGTTGTAGTGTCAAGAAATGTGATCTTAGAGTCAGAGATTTCATATGTGAATTTTATTGAGGGATGGGCATCGTTGGCATGTTGAATGAACAAATTTAGTTCTTGTTCAGTATTATCCCACTTCATGTCAATGTCATCGATAAATCGGAACCAAGAGAGGGGTTGATAAAGAGAAGAATTGAGAATTCTCTGTTCTAATTTCCCCATAAAAATATTGGCATAAGACGGGGCCATCTTTGTTCCCATTGCTGTTCCATTAACTTGGAGAAAGTGTTCACCATTGAATGTGAAGTTATTGCATTGTAATACCAAAATTAGAAGCTGGATGAGACATTCAGTGTTTAGGCGTTTATATATTTTATTTATTGTGTACATGTATCGTTACTCGTAACGATCCAGCGCCCTCGTGGGAAAAATCGTTGACTATTATTCAGACGTTTTATATATATATATATATATATATATATATAGGTTTGAACGTTGTTTTCAATTTAGACTTGTATATATATATATATATATATATATATATATATATATACAAGTCTAAATTGAAAAAAATATATACAAGTCTAAATTGAAAACAACGTTCAAACCTATGATTGCGTTGGATAAAAACCGCAATTTTTATACGTGTGCATGCAAAACAAATTTCTTGGTATATATATATATATATATAAAAAGTCTAAATTGAAAACGACGTTCAAACCTATGATTGCGTTGGATAAAAACCGCAATTTTTATACGTGTGCATGCAAAACAAATTTCTTGGTAGAGGGGTCTAAATACAGCACAAAGAACATTTTCCAAAAGACCAAATGAGTGAAAAAGTATATTTTAACAAAACGCATTTGACTAGCAGGTCGAACAACTGATGTTCTTAAACCCTGCTGACTGCCATTGGAGATTGCCAAATAAACGGATCACAAGATGTAACAAAACAGATCTTATTATTAAATTATTACCAAACAGAAAACAATAAATTTGCGGAAAAGATGGTATACCGCAAACATGAGGTGCAAAAATTTGTACACCATATCCGGATTTCGACAATTAATGTCTCTTCAGTGATGTTAGGAATCGAAACGGTATTTGGAAGGCCATATAATTTACCTCAATTTAGGATAGACTCTTGAATTTTGAAAGAGTCAAAATAGGATGAACGGATCATATAAACCCGAAGGCAAATATAATACAAGCCCAAACGAAAAAATATAAACAAGTCTTAATTGAAAACAACGTTCAAACCTATGATTGCGTTGGATAAAAACCGCAATTTTTCTACGTGTGCATGCAAAACAAATTTCTTGGTAGAGGGGTCTAAATACAGCACAAACAACATTTTCCAAAAGACCAAACGAGTGAAAAAGTATATTTTAACAAAACGCATTTGACTAGCAGATCGAACAACTGATGTTCTTAAACCCTGCTGACTGAATATATATATTTCTCTAATTCTTCGTCAATTTATCCCTTTCTGCACCAATTGTATAAAAAGAATTTAATCAACGTGTGGTTCGTTTGATCTCAGTTCTTCATTGGTTAAAATCCGATTATGACGTCGAATTTTCTTGCTTTCCACTGAATTTTCTATTGTGACGGCACGAAAAAAGGCGACCATGCCTGATGACGTCACATAGAAAGAACACATCTTTTTGCAGATCATTCGAAAAGAAGGAATAAATTTGCCTGCGTATTGTTTGAAAATCATTAGAGAAACAGATTCCACCACCAAATCTCGTGTAATACGATATTTATCCACTCTCGACAGTTAAATTTTAAATATTTAAAACGCTCGGCGAGCCTCGCGTTTTAAATTTGAAAATTTGATATATATATATATATATATATTTCTTTTCTATATATATATATTTCTTTTCTATCGTTTACCATTACATATTATTTTTGCAACGAACTAAGATGATGATTTATTTCATAATTGCGAAAACTTCCGGAGATGTATCCGTTAATGGTTAAAAGTTAGTGAGTCCTTACACGTCAACTATGGCGGAAGTGTCAGAAGACACAAGTTGGTAAATAACGAACTAATATATTAGTAAATTGGTTCATAAACAATTATATTTCATGTCATGAATCACGAAAAACAGTCAAGTTTCCCATTTATATCATCAGTTTGTAAAAACCACAGAGGGCGAAGGCATATGCAGTACAGAACTGTCTGCCAAAAGTGTATTGAACAGTTGAAGTGCTACTCAGATAATATAACGTCTGCTTAGGGTCTTTTTCGATTTTGATTTTAATAATTGCCTTGCAGCAAGGGATCGAAGAAAAAAGTAAATAAAAAAAAGTCCCCCGATGTGTCAAAAGTGTCTGGACTATCAAATTCATTGAGTTACTCAGTTACTGAGTTAGCACAAGCAGATCAAGCCATAATATTTTTGAAAAAAAATGTTATCAGTAGCAAGCTCTTATCTTTATCAGGTTAGAGATGGTAAACGGACAGAGAGTCACAGGACAAAAAGTCACAAATTTGAAAGGACAAAAAGTCACAAATAATTTGTTGACAATTGTTTGAATATATTCTGCCCGTCCGGTAAACCCGCCCACTCCCATTTGATTTACTTCCATATTGTCACTTCCGTGAATACTTCGTCTGCTATTTTATTCATAGGAACTGTATTTATCATCACTGTGTGTCAAATTTTAAAGAACAATCCTTTATTACGAAAATATCTAGTGATATATAATAACAGTCCCGAAGCTAACGATAATCATATCAATGCTTACAAAACTCATTTCTGACTTGAAATTTATTTTTTGGGGGATTATCTGGAATTCCTTTATAAGTGGTCTATTCATAGATCACCTTTTTCTTTCATAAATATGTGATAAACTGGCCCTCCATTCATATTTATTGTGCATGGGCGGATTTACCGGACAAACACATTTCCGATAAAACACGGATGACCCACTTGTTTTGTTGATTTTAAAAATTATTTCAGATATTTTTTGGGAAATGAGATAAACTACTCAAAATTGATTTGTCAGTGAAACGATTTAAATTGAATTTGATACAATTTGTATATAATTAAGCAGAAATACATACGATCAAAGCCTTATGTGGGCGGATTTACCGGACTGCATCATGTAAGAGAAAGATCTTGAAATTTTTTTTTTAAATAAGTGTTTTCTTATTCAAAGAAAAATAATCTCAAAACTGAATTGTGACTTTTTGTCCTGTGAATTTTTGTCCGTGACTTTTTGTCCTGTGACTTTCTGTCCTACATTTTGGAGACAACCCACCAAATGGGGAGCTATTCCCCAAATAAGTAGCAATCCCTCAATTGAGTAATCATTTGATAGTGCTAAAAATCAAAATTATCTTAGCTGTCAGTCTGTAGTCATTAAATAGTTCTTTTTGTCTGGTAACATGCTGACTGTAACCTGGTCATTTATTTAATTTTCTTTCACACATTATCCAAGTAAAATGTAGGCATTTTAATCATCTGATTCATAGAATTGTAACTTAAAAAGAGAAGTTTATCCCTTGAATTTCCACCAAAACCCTTGATGATATATCAGTGATAATTAATTGGGTCACATCTGTTGATAATTTGACATCTTTGAAAAGAAAATTCTTTACTTAAATAAAGTAGAAATTAATGATTAATTTCTACTTTATTTAAGTGAAGAATTAAATGATACAAATTTCAAGGACCTCACAAATAACTAGGATTGTCAGTTTTTGTGCCCAATGTTGGAGGTTCTCTCCCAGCACTCCAGCTTCCTCCACAAATGAAAACTAACCAATATGATAAAGCCAAAAGATTTGACAGTGGTGTTAAACACCAACAATCAATCAATCAATCCATATCCAACTAAGAAAGACATCACATGACTTTGTTGACGTTGCGGGCTGCCATTTTGTGTCATTTTGTCCCATATAAAATGCATAGGTGCTTCAATAAAGTTCAGTTTTCTCATTCATCTGACCCATTTTCTAACTTTTGCAACTATATCCTTGGTATTTGAACATAAATCTATGTTGGATCTGACAGTTTAATTTTTGATTAAATTACGTTCCTGGAGATTCGTAAAAATCATACTTTTTTTCACCATTTCCCTGTTGACTCAATGGTAAATCTAACGACCCCATGTCTTACTTGTACATCAAATTCACAAATTCAGTAAATAAAAGTAAAACTTTGCAACTCGATTGAGATTATTTAAACAAATATCTGGTGAAATATTCTACTTAAAACAGTTTAAATCGAGGGCAAATTACGTCCCACATTGAAGTGATTTTTTTCGAGATTTTTCAAAATGGCGGATGGGTTTGGAAGTGTCGCATGTATTCTTAAACATCTTGTATTTTTCATGCAGAATTTGTGCTGTTTCTGTTATTTTCTTCGTTGATATTTTGGTATGTTTGATTTCTTAATTTCTTGATAAAAAATAAATTATTTCAAGTGTGAAGTGAAAAAAATAGTTACCACTGAAATTTATAAGAAAATTTTTTTAAAGATTGTTTTCCCTTTTTTTCTGTATAATTTATCTTTATATAAAAAAATAATATATTCTTTTGAGAAAAAAAAACATTTTCGTCTCGAGAGAAAAAATCATGCACAACAATAGATAAATGCTCTGTACCAATTTAAGTTAATGTCCCTTTAAAGTTTCTATGACCAATATGACCAATATACGAATATCAGATTTAAGTTATAATGTTACGTAACAACAACTTGTCAGGTAATGTAAAGAAATCGTGTCAAACCAGAAGCCATCAGGTGACATTAACATCCTGTGTACACATGTTTCCAGAGTTTAGTGATAGTGATATACACAAGTTATCTAAAATGTACAAATATAATTCTCTTTCCCATGTACACTACCGAAAAAATGTATATCATAAAGAACTTTAAGAAAATGTGAACATTTTGAAAAATTCTTCGATAAGTTGATTTTTGCTTAAAAAAATAACCAAATATTAATGTTTCACGATAATCGTTTAAAAAAAAAATGCTCTAATTCAAATTTTATAGATAATAGATTTTTTTTTTATTTCATTGAAAATTAAACGAGACTTCATTGCATATGATTTTTGTTATTTATTTTTTTAATTCAATGTTTTAAGCAAAATCCAGTCATTAAAAAAAAATCAATATTTAAATTTTAACTTGTTTACAAAAATATGTCATTGCATACATTTCAACATTGTATACCCGCCAATATTTATCGACAGAGTTATCGGTCCTGAATAGGACTGATATAGTTGGGTATGCCCAAATAAACACGAAAAAGGCTTTAAAATTTAATGTTGAGATCAGTATTTTAGGAACTTGTATTTTTGAAGGAAAATCATCTGTGCCCTAAAAATATTAAGGACTATTTTCTAGTTATGATCATAATAAGAAAAGTTTTTGACTGCTTTTTAGGATAATAGATTTAGAGACAGCTTTGGTAGATGAGTGTGATTATGGAACATTGAGAAATATTTGTAAAAATAGACCAGTACCAGCACACCTTAGAGCTGAAGTTTGGCAGGTAAGTTTAATGCAAGATTTTATCTATTTCAAATACACTATGGCTGTTTAATTAAAACATACATGGGACTCAGGGAAGGCAACTTTGAACATGCCACTATGAGATGGTGTGAAGTATTATGTTGCACACGTATGTTTGAAATGTATGTAAAAAGTAAAATAACAAAAATACCGAATTCCAAGGAAAATTCAAAACGGAAAGTCCATTATAAAATGGCTAAATCAAAAGCTAAAACACAGTTAAATGAATCATATTCCTGACTTAGAACAGTCATTTCCTTATGTAGAAAATAGTGGATTAAACCTGTAAACTGTTTGGGTGTTTACCCAATTTTCAATGTCCCTAGGTGCAATGTATGTTTTAATGCAACAGCCCATATAAAGAATCAAAGATATTCCTGTTAAAATAATGCATCACACATGCTTTTTTTCGTATGTTTGCAAGAAGAAAATATTTTAGCTGAAATAGTCAAAATAAAATTTTGCTATTGATGCATATATCTCTTGTTACTCAATGTCAGGTCAAAATAAAATTCTTGTTAATTATTTATTTACAGCCCAGATTTTAAGCTTAATGAAGGTATAAAGGATAAAAATTTATTTTGTTTTACCAATAAGTAAATCTTAAGTATTCATTATAAATGAACAGACATGATAAAAAAAAAAGTTGCGTTTGAAAAGCAAACCCGACCAAGGGGAGGAAAAATAAGAAGGCCCAGGCTTGTCAGCGGGGAGAAACTCCAGGCCTCAGGTTGTCAAAGGGGAAGGTAGGTCTAAACGAACGTCCCCCAAAATATTTTGAATATATATATATTTTTATGGGAAGATACTTTGAACTCTTTAAGGAAAGAAAATCATGAATGTAAATTGTGTATCAAATTTCTAAACTGTTTTTTTTTTTTATATAAGATTTATTGATTTATTTTCTAGATATGTTTAGGTGTACATGGTAAAGGAGATTCTTTGGCAACATTTGATGGATTGTTTGACTTGAAAGAACAGGAACAGATACGACAGGATTGTAAATCACTTATAGGTACTTGTCTTATGGAAAGGTCTTTAGATTTTTTTTTCAAATTTGCTTTTTCAATAGTGCTTAAGGATGTACTTAGGTGAATTTAAAAAAATATAGAATTTAAAATTGATACTATAAGTCTGAAGAGCATTAGTTAAGGATCAAAATAAGCTAAAGATATTGATAGGTTATGGAGCTCCTTTTCGAGATATTTGATTTTTAAAATATGGCGGAAAAAGGCTGACTCAGACTTTTACCTTATATTTGCATTGGTATTATTTGGGTCTCAAATCGAAAGAAAAAAAATATAGAATTTGCTTAAATTTTGATAAATGAACTTTTATGAGATATTGAAGTCTTTTACATGAAAAGAAAAATGGTGTTATGGGGCAAAATATTTTACCCTGTATTGAAGGAAAAAAACCAAAGAGTTCAAACATCTGACACAAATTCCTAAACCTCACCTAAGTACATCCTTAAATTTGTGATTTCATCTTTTGCTCAAAGTAATTTGGTTTTCTTTTGAGTTTTTAAATTTGTAGTGTTCCTTATGCGCAAAATCCATGAAAATTGTATTCCACAAATATTAATGAATACACTGTATATTTTGTTCTTTTTCAGATAAATTTGGAAATGAAGATGAAGAAGATAAACTCACTCTTGTGAGTGACCTTGAAACAATTATTACCTTCTATAGCAAGTCCCGTAATGAAACTTACAAATCAGAATGTGATTGGCTAGGAGTCATTCAGCCTTTACTGGCATTGAAATTAAGCAGAGCAGAAATTTACAATTGTTTTTATGCCATTTTGAACAAATTTATTTCAAGGTGAGTGGATTCGTAAACATGTCCAAAATGTTTGTGCAATGCTTTTTGACTTGTTGAGGGCACTTACTTATGAAAAGCAAGGCCAGACCAGATTTTATTATTCCAAATTTTAGTCATTTCTGGTCAAACCAGTCTCAAACTTTTAAACCTAAACAAACATGACAAAAGATAAAAACAATTGCACATTTAAAGTCGCAAATTTACACAAATTCAGGTATAACCCGATAAGTTTATTTTTATCCTCTAGATTTCAGATTACAGGTCCAGTGAGTACAAAATATATATCATTTCTTACTCTGGAAACTTGGGTAGGGAGGAGTTGGGATTGGGAATAAAACTCAAAGTAAACATCAAATGGAACTTATGGGTTCAATTGAATTTCTAGGAAAGATGGATGATGGATGCAAGGAAAAAGGAACCTTTTAACCCATCATACATTTAGTTGATTGATAAGCCCTTATGTTGAGGATTGATTTTTGTTTGATTTTCTGATTGAATGTTTTTGAGAACCTTAATTCTGTAAGAAAAAAATTGAAAGGGATGTGATTTATGAATTTAAATGTGACCTTTTTCTAACATTAAAAAATCGTGATACAGTTCAAACTTTATAATGTATTATTTATTTTTATTTCAGAGATTGTGAAAAGAATGGAAAACCATTCCATTTATTTAGGTTACTACTACAGTATCATGACCCAGAACTGTCCTCATTTTTGGACACAAAAAGAATTACTCCTGATACTTATGCTCTACCCTGGGTAAGAAAATGTGGATTTATCCAAACATTCAGTTGACAAATAATATTATTCCCCTGTGTGTTAAATTTGATAGGTGAATGGCTATTTGATTGGTTGAGACTATCCCATGTTCAGACTTTGGCAAAACCAGGAAACCAAATATCCATGAAAATACAATGTCCATCAAACCACAAAAATTGGTATTCACGACAGTAAATGAATCCACTGATTTGAAGGGAAAACATGACGTTATTCTGTAGTTCATCAATCCATATATAAATTATTTTTTGTGTTACATTAATTTAACCTTTGTTCTGATTAATCAATAGGCAATTTTTTATCACAAAATGAGAAATGGGATATATTTATTTTTGTTTTTTTCTTTTTGAACTCATCATGTTTGAATGGATGAATAATTCACAGAAGACAGATAAAAACAGAGGAAAAAAGGTTTTATAACACACAGATATTTTTTTTGCTTACATTTACAACAGAATCAAGTTTAAAAATAGAAATGTACATATTTAATTTTCAGTTAAGAAGTTTATTTGCTTCCACCTGTACTTTACCTGTGATACAGAATATGTGGGATGTATATTTCCAACATGGAGATCCATTTCTGGCTTTCTTTATGGCGCTGGTCATTCTTGTTAATGCAAGGTTAGTATTGAAACACATATTAGTCAGCTTGTTTATCAAACCTTTATGACTTGCATACAATTTTTTTGTAGATCATGGAGGAATTGTAGTTTTTGGTTTTATTTTAGTTTCAGTTTACACAGAATGTATAAGCTCTGAAAAAAAAAATTAACATGGATAAAAGGAGAACTTTTTTAAAGTCAACATGGCTGAAATCTATTGGTGACTCCTTATTGGAGTTATTGCTCTTTAATGATGATTTTTACCATTTTTTTGCATATTTGCTTACCATAATATTTTGAAAACTATAATTGATAGATAGACATAATAATGTGGTTGATTGATGATTGATTAGTGTTTGGTTTTAAGGTGGTACCAAACACCTTGACTAAAATTAATTTGGCTCGTTTAATTTTCATAAAATTTTGACAAAATATTAACTTTGACCCTTTGACAAAAATATAAAATTTCAAAAAACTTGAAATACACTTTATCGGAAAAATTTCATTGGATATATATAGCAGTTTGACAAACACTGATATTGGTCATTGAGAAGCTTAATATTTCATTAACAATACAGCAGTTCCGGGATACGGTTTTTAGACGAATCTGTCATGTGACTTCCATCACCACATTACCAAAATGTAGGCAACGTCACTTCCAACACATGTTGAGCAAACAGGTGAAAAAGTTTGATTTTATACTGCACAAAATATTTGGGAAATTAAAATCTAATAAGATGGTCACCCTCCCTCAGTCGTACGGGAATCAAGATTACGTACTTATGGAACACAAATTATTTCTATACTACCTTACAGAATGACGATTATGAAAGTGCTGGAAACTTTTAATAGAGCAGGAATACAGGCGCGCCTTCTATCTGGTAAATGACGTCATAAAGGTGTGCAAAATTGACGATCTTTTCCGGTGAAAGACATGATTCCAGAAATGACGTATAGAACATGATTAAAACATTCAGCTGATTTTTAAAGAGTTATATCCCTGTAGTGTTATGTACCACCTTAATACATATATATGCTGAATCAGTCCTAAAAGGCTATATTATAGAGATTTAAAAAATATTGTTATTATTAGATTAAAAAATGCAGCAGAATGAACATCACATAAATTAAACCCACTTTAAATTTTTTGCTAGTTATATTACATGAATATATCTTGCATGATTGTTAGTATACAATGACTTACAATAATGAATGCATTTGTTCTATTTTGAAATATCAGTAAGTATTCAAAGACCAGGATTATTTAATGCAGAAATCTAATACCATACCAATAATAGGAAATCATTTGTACTTATTTATGGACTGATTACTGTAAATTCCAATATCAATGCAACAAAGGGCACTTGAATAACCATTGCAATAGATAAAACTAGCATTTTGATTTTTACCAGTATCGTTTTATTTCAACATGTACAGAAGAGAGGCGAAAGATGCCAAAGGGACATTCAAACTCATATAAGTCGAAAATAAACTGACAACGCCATGGCTAAAAAAGAAAATCCAACAGAAAAACAATAGTACACAAAACACAACATAGAAACCAAAAACTGATTAACATGAACCCCACCAAAAACTGGGTGTGATCTCAGGTGTTCCGGAAGGATAAGGGGATCCTGCTCCACATGTGGCACCCATCTTGTTGCTCATGTTAGTACAAACCCGGTAATTAGTATAATTGGGTAGGTCACATTCTGGGAAAGGGACAGGATTGTAGTTACGACATTTGGAACATATCAGCTATCATCTGTGAAATGGATATTCCATTACAGTCTAACTCATGATGGCGCCCGTAAAATTTACGAAGGGATGATTTCAACTTCACCACTTGGAACTCTTGATTTAACAGCTTCCTTGTGAGCAGCAACCCTCTATCAAGGAAATCATAATAGGAAATAAAATTATTAATTATTGTTGCTTCATTGTTGGTTGTCTAAGACTAACAAAAAAATAATGTTATATAAAAGTAAATATGTTGTTTTTTTCATTTTTAGAGACCAGCTTTTAGCTGGAGAACTTGATACCAAACAGGCCATCATAGGTATTTAAAGTATAAATTAAAGAAAATCATGAAGCAAAATAAGATAGCAATTCATTTTACTACATATTGTTGTAAATTCAGGATACTCTGGGTGTCAAATTTGTTTTAAGTTATTTCATGTGAAAAATGAAAAGTAACAAGAACGAAGAAAAAAAGTGTGGAAAGCTGATTTGCCGGACTGACAGATGGACAGACGGACGGACAGACGGACAGAGTGCAAAACCTAAAGTCCCCTTTGATTTCGTCGGTAGGGGAATAAAATGAAGAAACCCAGTATCATTTATTTCTACTCAATTGTTTTTTAACCAATTGAAATACTATTTCATCAAAATGAAAAGATTTTTTCATCTATTTGTAGAAGTGTTAACATCATTTCCATCAGGACTAGAAGCAGAGGACATTGAAGATTTCTGTTCCTTGTCACAGTACTATGCATCCAGAACACCACAGTCTTTCAGAAGAGTAAGTCTTATTAATACTTTAAGTGCCAATCTGCCTAAGAATCAGGCAGTGGTGAAACATGACAAACAAAAACCCACTCAGCTTTACATTAATTTGAGTTCAGAATGTATAATGGTGCATGAATATAACATTTGTTTCCTTTCCCAGTTCTGGTTATTCAAGATATAATTTGGTTGAAATGCACTAGAAATCAACAATTAAGGGGAGACAACTCCGTAATTTGCTATCATTCTAACCAAAATTTATCTAGATATATCTCGAAATACCAGACACGTAGAAACGAAAGACCTACCATTTCGAACTCAGGATGAGGGCACCTTCAAAATAGGGTTGTTAGGTTGGTTGGTTTTTTTTGGCCATGTTTTGATTTTTTTCTAAATTGCCTGATTCTTACAAAGACTGGCACTTTAAAAAAAAGAATAATGGGAATCGTCAAAAATAATGGACATGACAACAGACCATACAAATCACTAACATCTAACTCCTTAAAAAATAAATGTGCAAATAAGGACAAACAAAAACCAAACACATGGTCTGACTTGAAACATGCACAAAATGTGGTTAAACCAGTTTTCAGTGCACACAAATTGTCCTCTTTGCCTATCTAGACTATATTTAAAACACACAATAAAAACCTACACAGTGTAGCTATAAACAGGATGACATATAGCTTGAACAAGAAAATAAAAAAATGGCATATAATTTGGAAAGAAGGGTCAAAATTTTCTTGCTGTTAAGTTCACAAGACTTTTTTTTACCACTTAGCAACAATATGTGAAATTGGTTAATAACATATGAAATATGTTAAAAAGTTGTACAGAAATTAACTTATAGTTTGTATTTAATACCAAAACATCGGTTTTTAGTGATAATTGTTAGGTATTTTTCATCTACAATATATATGTTAAAAAATTGCTTAATTAACTAGTAGATTATAATGTATTGCCCTTCACACAATCTTGTTTTACATTATTTTTAAGAAATATTTGAAATACTGTTAAAGCAATTTAACTGGAAAAAGACCTGCATATAAACGGAACAGAGAGCATTTAACCATCCATCAAAAAGTTGACACGTTACTTAAAAGATTTATATACAGATCTAAATTTACTTTCTGTACAGATCTAAATTTACTTCTGTACAGATCTAAATTTACTTCTGTACAGATCTAGATTTACTTTCTGTACAGATTTAAATTTACTTTCTGTTGTAAAATGATTCTGGTATTTGGTTAGATGATGATGCAAAGAGAAAACATTTTGAAATTTGTAATGAGAAGGAAATCTGCTATAGTAAAACTACTGTCTAGAGAAAAATTCTCTTCTTTATATCTCCCACATGCACAATATCAATATTAACATAAAATGATAATATACTGTAAATTCAGAAATTATTGCGATGTTTTTATTATTGCGAAAAATGCTATGGTGTTATAATTGCAATAATTTAAACTTGCATTTTGAAATTTTTTATATGAATTAAACAGGATTTTTCTCAATATCGCAAAAATTAAAATCGCATTTTAGTCTAAAATGACAAAGTCGCAATAATAAATGCACGCAATAATTTCTGAATTTACAGTAATATGTAATGTAATGTACATATATCTTCTCATTGGCCTAGTCATGTTAAACTGAAAGTGAAAGTAGAAAAAAAGAATTTTTACTGACTAACAGAAAGATATCAAGTTAGTAAACATACAGCCTTATCCTTGACTATGATGACGTATTATTTTGTAATTGTAGGATTACCAGGGTCCATTGTTTGGTGTTAGTCTAGTCCCTGTTAGAGAAGAATTTGAAGTTAGTGTTACTCAGGCCCTCTGTTTACCTGTGTCAGTAGCAGAATTGTTACAAGCTTGCCAACCAGGATCAGTGAGTATTGTCCAAATACAGTCAAACCTGTGTAAACCCCGACCCTGAATAAGCCTGTTTCCTGTCCATTCTGGCCAAAAATTGAAGTCCCACTTTTTCCCCTTCAAAGTCTTTGTAAAAATACCCTTTGTAAACCGGACCCTGTGTATTCTGAATTCCAATCTAATTATGCAGTCCTAATACTTATAATTACATTATTTATTACCTGTCAAATCCGGTTTGTTTGATTAATTTAACATGATAACAGTATTGATGGAATCAAAGCATAATTGTTTATACAAGATCATTTTTAAGGATGATTAATTAGCAAGGTGTTAAACCATGAACTAACAGTAATGAGCTTTATTATTGAAACACTATTTAAGTATTAATTAAAATAAACTAAAAGAAACACCCAATATATCTCGGATAGAATTTACGTTGTTACTTTGATAAACTTTTCCAATCAGGGAGTAAGAAATTTACATCGTGTTTTCAAAATGCTTGCTTCCCTGTTGTGAACCCCGAAACCAATGACCCTGATAATGAAGAAGACCCAAATGATGATATTCCATTGTCGAGTTTATGGGTATGGTACATTGTACGACAATGTTTTGATCATCATGAAATTTTGTTTGATAAAATTCTTGCTTGTAAGTAAAACCAAACTAACGTTGAGCAATTCCAGCAATGCAAGGATTCTGATGTGAAATGAAAACAATAAACTCAAATTGAAAATGAAACTGACGAGTCGGAGACTGATGCTACCAAGGTCGATTTGACATACGAGGATATGTTAAAAAAAAGTTAAAAAAAAATTTTTTTAATTCGGAGGACAACCAATTTCTGAAATTTCTAAAGCCAATGCATACGAAAACTCAAAACAACGGTCGTGCGTAGTTAAATGGTGAAAAGGCAGGGATCACTTGTGATGTTCATGTCACAATATTTTCACACAAATCATGACATAACTTTTACTGAATAGATTATTACGATATTTGTATTTGTTATAAAAATAAGGAGATGTGGTATGATTGCCAATGAGACAACTATCCACCAAAGTTCAAATGAAGTTGCTGTAAGCAATTATAGGCCTTCAACAATGAGAAAAACCCATACTGTATGGTCCGCTATAAAAGGTTTAGTTTACAATTTACAATGAGACAGAACTTTTACATGCAAAATACCTGACGTCACAAATCAATAACTTCCTGTCAAAACGGAAACCTGAATGAACAGACCCACTGTCCAAACTGGTTTTTCATAGTCCCATAGCTGTCCAGTTTATATAGGTTTTACTGTACTATTCTCAAGTTGTTGAATTTTTTTAATTTTCAACATAAAATTACAATTTTAAATGATAGACAAATAAATTCATTTTATATCCAACCATTTTCAGATTGAATATTATCATTTATTCAGATTTCTAGCTTTCTTTGATAATTATGACCTCGGGAAATTCTGTTTAGGTCAAGGACAAAATTCCCCCAGAAAAAAGACCCCATTTCCTTACTACATTAAGAAATGTCATAAAGTATCTAAATTTTATACTGGTTCATTGGATTCAGTATATCTTCAAAAAATGGTAGGTATTCTACGTCTGCTACTCCTGAACTTCTGATTGGATTTCAATGAAACTTTCACAGAATCCCACTTATATACTGCCATTGTGCATTTTGTGTTACATTTTGACCTGAAAGATTTTTGGGGTTTTCCTATTGTAAACACCCATTTTGAAATATCTTATACAAATCGAAGAATGGGGCAAAGAGAATTGAGATTTTCAAATTGTGGGCTCTGTTTTCATGTTAAAACTTTGTAAACAATTTAAGACAGCGTAAAACAGTAAATCTTAATAATTACTTTTCTAGGGTGACGGAGTGAAGTATTTTGTAGTGGATTGTCGACCAGCAGAACAGTATAATAATGGCCATTTACCTACAGCATTCCACTTAGATGCGAACTTAGTATGTATAAACTTATTACACAATACATTACTATGGATTCATTATTATTCGTGTGATACCAATTTTCATGAGTACAGGTGAACCACAAATTCAAATTTTCAACAAAGAAAAAAATTTCCATTGGCTTGTATGTAGACTTAATTTTTCAAAAATCCACAAAAATTGGTACCAAGGAGAATATATGAATCCACAGTAAAATTGAGAATGGAAATGGGGAATGTGTCAAAGAGACAACAACCCGACCATAGAACAGACAACAGCAGAAGGTCACCAACAGGTCTTCAATGCAGCGAGAAATTCCTGCACCCGGAGGCATCCTTCAGCTGGCCCCTAAACAAATATATATACTAGTTCAGTGATAATGAACGCCATACTAAACTCCAAATTGTACACAAGAAACTAAAATTAAAAATAATACAAGACTAACAAAGGCTAGAGGCTCCTGACTTGGGACAGGCGCAAAAATGCGGCGGGGTTTAACATGTTTATGAGATCTCAACCCTCCCCCTATACCTCTAGCCAATGTAGAAAAGTAAACGCATAACAATACGCACATTAAAATTCAGTTCAAGAGAAGTCCGAGTCTGATGTCAGAAGAGGTAACCAAAGAAAATAAACAAAATGACAATGATACATAAATAACAACAGACTACTAGCAGTTAACTGACATGCCAGCTCCAGACTTCAATTAAACTGATTGAAAGATTATGTCTTCATCATATGAATATCAGGCACAATCCTTCCCGTTAGGGGTTTAGTATCATACCATCATAACATATATGAGAAGAACATAACCCGTGTCATGCCAACAACTGGTTTTTAAATAAATGTGTTTAGTTCCGATGCAAAGACCATATAAGTGAATCAATATTAACGCCAAAATATGCAATCTTTAATGACCTGACAACAGTATCGTAACTATATCCCTTCTTAATAAGTCTATTTAAAGGTTTTGTTAGCTTCAGAGGTGAATACTGACATTTTTGTGCTTTATAAAGAATATTTCCATAAAAAATTGGATGTGAAATACCTGAACGTATAAGAAGTCTGCATGTTGAGCTATATTTACGAATGATGTCCTTATACCGATGATAAAATTTAGTAAATGTTTTGACTAGTTTGTGATATCGAAATAACTTGATTTGTGATGCTTTATATTGTAGAACATTGGAGTATTATTTAATTATTTTGCATTGGATTATATTCTTAAGATTATAATATTTTACCAACTTGGTGGTTATCTTAAAGTGTACTTGTCATATTGATGCCTTTTATAGATGACTCAATGTTATGGGTTTTACTCAATATTGAAGGCCGAAGGTTGACCTATTATTATTTTTATATTGCTCTAATATAACCAACAATACCAATGTTTGTGCATATGACATGTCTTCATCAGGCATGTTCAAGATCGAAAGTTTGGGAAGCCAGACACATTTATCATTTAGATTGAGCCTAAACAAAACAGCTTAAATCTGGCCTGTCATGAAATACAGGTATTAGCTTCTTGATGTTATACAGCCACTAAATAATCCCTGTTTTAATGCATTTTGCTGCTATGAGGAAGAATTGCTATTTGAATAATCTTAATCAAGTATTCTTGAGATCTAAAGTTTGGGAAGACAGATACATGTTTCATTTGAGCGGCAAAGATCGTGAAACAGGTATTTGCTTCTTGTTGTTGTACAGCCGCTCAATAATCCCTGTTTTAATGCATTTTGCTGCTATGTGGAAGAAATGTTTCTTGAATAATCTTAATCAAGTTTTCTTGAGATCTAAAGTTTGAGAAGACAGATACATGTTTCTTTTGAGCGGCAAGGATCTTGAAACAGGAATTTGCTTCTTGATATTATACAGTTGCTTAATAATGCACTGTTTTAATGCACTGCTTTAATGCACTTTGCTGCTATGTGAGTTAAGGATGATTCCTTTATCTTACAGATGTTACAGAATCCAATGGAATTTAATACTGCTGTACAGGCATTGTTAGCTGCTCAACAACAAAGCATTAATGCTGGTAGGTATGGTGGCGAAAAATATATTGATAAAAGCAATCTACTCTTGATTTTATTATTTTCTTGGATATCAATTTTCATGGATTGAGTTCAAATTGTATTTTCATGGATATTTCAAAGTCTGTATGCAAGCCTATAGATAATGTGTACTTTGTTGAGCATTTAAATTCGGGGTTTACCTATACCCATGAAAATTCGTATCCCACGAATAAGAAAATCAACAGTTTTCTGTAGCTTATGATTACTGACCAATTATGGATATATAAAATGTGTTGGTTTTTTTTGTTAAATCAGTCTCTTCAAAATACTGTAAATTCAGAAATTATTGCGTGCATTTATTATTGCTATTTTTGAAGAATGGCCTAAAATGCAAGGTTAATTATTGCGATTTCAGGAATAAATGCATACAGATATAAGTATAATATATCAAAATGTTCTTATTATTGTAATTGTCATCCACTCACATTAATTGCATTAATAAAAACTTCACAACAATTTCTGAATTTAAATTAATAAAAACAATGCAAAAATTTATGAATTTACTGTAGTATAAACCTCCATAACATTACTGGATAATTTTTGCCGAATGTGCTGTCCAGTGCTTCAATATTTATACTATTTAATTTTATTAAAGGATCCATATCAGGAGGTGAACACTTATGTTTTATTGGTAGTGGCCGTGAAGAGGAGGACCAATATGTTTACATGGTTATAGCCAACTTTTTACAAAAACATTACCAGTTCATCAGCTTTGCCAAGGGAGGTTACTCAGGTATTACATTTTTAAGTAATGACATGCAAGTTTAAATTTCACCTCTGATTCTAGTTTAGAATCTCTTGACTGTGCATTTAAGTAATAATTGCTTAAACTGACAAAATTGTTTCGTTGAGGCATTACAGACATATAGTTATTTAGGTATAAAAAATCTTCCAGGAAATGATTTTTACAGCAAGATTGATGTTATAAACATATTGACTAAGGCTGTCATATAAATGTAGAATCTTTGCTTAAAAGAAAAATATATTTGATATAAAAAAAAATGGGCAAGGGGAGTAACTCTTCTTTGTAAAAAGTACAAGACTGAAAGAAAATCCTATTATGTTTATTTGATAATGGACTGGTATGAATTAGTTAAATAGAAATGACAATACAAAGTATCAAAATATCAGCATGCATCATTTTGACTAATGAGCATTTGAAAATTTACTGAGATATGGGGTCATGAGATTACTAAAAATTAGGTGTCAGCTGTTTTTTGTATTATTCTTCATTCATTTTCATGATAAACTTACACAAAGGAAGCACATGTCAAATTTTTGTGATCCTTTCATACTTTTCACAGTATAGTCTTTTTTCCTATAAACTGGTTATTAGCTAGAAAATATCAATCTTTATATTTATTAATTTACTTTTTATTTTGTTTCAGCTGTTCATCAGTTAATGAAGGACAGATTGAGCGACGGATTAACAAACCATAATTCTAAACATTGTATAATATGCAATCCTGAGGCAGCTTCTAGTGATTTAGAAAGTGGAGAAGATTTCCGTCCATCTTCTAAGGTATTTGTTTTTTATGCCCCCGCCGTAGCGGTGGGGTCATTAAGTTTTACCCTTGTCCGTCTGTACGTACGTACGTACATCCGTACGTACGTCCCAAAATTGGTTTCCGTTCTCTTACTTAAGTTTGCCTCAACCAAATGTTATGAAACTTATACACAATGCTTATTACCACTAAACACAGATCAAGTTTGAATTTTGGTGGTGTCACTTTAACCGTTCTAGAGTTATGCCCCTTTACAAATGGAAAAATTGCAAAATTTTTAGTTTCCGTTCTGTTACTTGAGTTTGCCTCAACCAAATGTTATGAAACTCATACACAATGCTTATTACCAGAGTTCGCGAAAACTTATTTTGACCCGTCGGTCATGGGACCGACAAAGCATGATTATTTGTCAGTCCTACAAAATTTAAGCCAGTCCTACAAAATCTCTCAATTTTATCCTGAAAAAAAATTGATAACATATTTTATCGAAAAATAACTTTATTAATATTAGTTTTATTCTTCGCACCCACAGGCAAATTAACAATGAAAGACCAGTTCAGGTCTTCTGATTGTTCTTATTTAAAGTCATCTTCACTATCCATTTCATCATCTGAATCACTTTCTCGGCTGTTACAGTATTTGTTTGCTCCATTGTAGGGTTCAATCGCCGATTGTTTGCCAGGGATGGCTCTATGGACAAATTAAGTAGGCCACGTGTAGATCGCCGCTTTGGTTTGTTTATAATAAATCCGTAAACCAGTACCGGAAATTGGCAGCGGATACATCTGATAACCGATGTAAACACTTATTGGAAACAGTTGCGGTACATCTAATAACCGATGTAAAAAAGTGCCGAAATATGCACTACAACGGCCGTTTTTACATCGGTCATTGGGACCGGCACTAGCCTTCAAAATACTGGTCCGAGCCTCATTTTGACCGACAGGACCGACAGGACCGACCATTTTCGTGAACTCTGTATTACCACAAAACACAGATCAAGTTTGAATTTTGGTGGCGTCACTTTCAACGTTCTAGTTTTGGAATGCTTTACCAGTCATCTTACATATGTTAATTATAGCATGTATGAAATAAGGAGAAGTAGGGTTTATATCAATGAGAAAATTGACCCAAAAACATGCGATAACCAAAAACAGTCATCCAGAGGTCAGAGGTCAATGGACAAACATCAGTATGACATTTTTTAATTCCTTTTAAAAGTTGTGAATAAACTCAACCGAGATGAACAAAAATTTGACACGAGTACAATATTCTAAAAGACACAAACTTAAAGAGACATCTATAACCTCTGAAGGGTATATTATAAGTTATATATTTTCATATCTGAGATAACAAATTTATCCCTGATCTTAGTCTGAATTGGGTGATTTTTTTGGAAATTCCGGCACAAAGTGTTACATGAAAGCAACTTTTTTTTTATTATTTGAAAAAAGTCTTATTGAAATCTGGAAATTTGACATATTTTTTACTGGGTGTAGAACCCTACAGGTAGTCAAATATAAGATGTTTTTCATTCAGAGACAGAAACTAGAATAAATCAAATCTGGGACTCAATGTCGTGAGTGTTACTTGATAGACGGCATGACGTCAAAGTGGGTTATTTGCATAACTAGGGCATTAGTCCCATTCATTGACAGCATGGTAGCCAAGTGACGCATTTACTAAAATGAATGCCAAGGATCGGCATAATATGATAAATTGTTAGTGGATTACATATTTAATTACAGACATCATGGATTATCACTGTGACCAAACACGGAACTAAGGAAAATGCTTGTGAAGTTCTCCGGGGATAATGGGTAGTAACACCTAGGTATATGGGTTAAAAACACCTGGGGCTATGGGTTTTTTAACGACTTGTCATTGGCCAATCAAAATCTGAAAAATATACTAAGCTGGGGATAAAAAAACATGTCAGTACTCAATCCAATATGTAGTTTAGATTTCCATCTCATTTTTAAGATTCATATATATTTTTAGGTATATATACAAGTATATTTAAATATACATTAATCTTATATTCCAGAATAAGGATGAGTCAGAATCATTATTTGGAAAATTGTCTGGAGCTGTCAAGAGTAAATCAGCGGAAATGAAACAAAAATTGACTGACTATATCAAAAATGAAAACCAACAAGTTGAAAGGTATATTTGTATACTAAAGATTCAGTTATTCTTATAGGTACCAATTTCCTTGGATTGGGTTAAAATGTGCTTCATAAATACTTGTTTTTGTGTATGAAGCAATTTCTGTAGAAATTTTTGTAATTTGCTGAACACTTATATCCATGGTTAACCTTTAACCTTGAAATAAAAAGAAAATTATACTCCAACAAATAATAATGAATCCATGTTACTCTATAGCCATTATTTGTATGTTCCCAGAAATATAGATTTGTATTTTATTTAATAAGAGCAAGAAATAAAAGTTTAAAATGTTTTTTGAACTGAAGTTTGATAAGCTAGGATAAAATTCTTTCCAATATTTTTTAGCCGTATCCTATTCAGGAAAAAGTTGTTCCTCCATGATAGCAGTTCACTGTACATAGTTTTGTAGATTTCAGGAAATTGACACACCTGTTCTTTGAAATAATACAATAAGAAAGAAAAAAAGTTCTCCAGAGCCTACAGTACTGTATGATATGCACCCCATCTACCTATTGTATGTCTTGGGTAAAAAGTGTGTATAATACACACCCTAATACGGTATTAATTTGATTGACCAAAAAATTTGAAAATCTGTGATATGCTTTTGTATTTACAGACATGTGAGTAATACAGATCGAGTGGGTAAAAGATACAGAAACATGGATAATGTATTCTCTATAGGTGATGATGAAGATGGTCAGTATACAGCATTCTATTTCTTTTTGATATTAAATAGTAATGACTTGCTTGAATAAAACAATTTTATACATGACAAACATTGAGTTAATCATTGAATACCAAGTGCAGATTTGCTGACTAAATGATATACCCTTTTTATGATTGTTACAAATGTGATCATTTAAGCGTCTTAGTGACCATTTAGAAACTGATTTTTAACATTACAAAACATTTATAACTGCTATCTGGTTCATTGCAGTTAAATAATGCTTTTTTTAAAGAGAAGATGATTTAGAAATGAAGAGAAGTATTAAGTTATAGCTGTTCCACAATTAAATGCATAGGAAACATGGAAGGCACTTTTTTAAGACACAAGACCTCCAATAAGATAAAAAATTTCATTTTACTTATAATTCTTACAAAATAAGGAAAATGGAACCATCCATATTTAATTAATTTGAGTACCTCCCATCCCACCCACCCTATAAATTTTGGAACAGCACTTTCAGGTTTAGAAAGATCATTCAAGAATGGAATTAAAAATGGAAAGTCTTCGCTAATGCAGCCATGAAATACATCGATTTTTATATTCGCTTGATAATGATTTTGACTTTGTAGTCTTCAAAATGTATTAATAAAGCAGTTATTGTTTTTTTGTTTAAGCAGAGGAGTTACCTAATTCTTCTGATGAAGATTCAAAAGAGAAAGTGAGCTTGGATACATGGTTAAAGAAACCAGATATACTATACTCTTGTAAATGTAATGCTGTCGGATCAAATGGTTTTATGTTCCCAAGGTATGGCTTTTATTTACAATAACGTTAACCTACCAATTTTACTGCACCAGATACGCATTTCGACAATAAATCTCTCTTCAGTGATGTTCGAAGCCAAAATACTTGAAAATCTAAAAGATCTGTATTCAATCACTGGCAAAGAACACATGTAAGTATGTACCTATTTGAATAAAAACAAAAAAACAAAAACAAAATAAAACGATAATAATAAGGATATGTGGTGTGATCTGCTAAAGAGACCAAATGACATAGATGTTAACAACTATGGTGTACTATATGGCCTTCAACTAGATTGTATTTCGATCTTTTAAAACTTTTGAACTGAAGATGGAATGGTTCAGATCAAACTGCTAGAATAGAGCAATGCTAACAATTTTTATAACAGGCAAGAGCTATCAATGTTTCAACTATCACCTGTGAAGGTTGGAATAGATTTTACTAGATTTTTGAAGAATTACAATATACACATAGTTTTTACAATAGACAGACAATGAAATGTACAAAATGTTTAGGATATGGCAGTTATCTTTGAAACTTACATCTAATTATTATTAGGAATAAATACCAGTTTGTTTGTTATACTTTTGCAACAATATTCCATAGTGTGTACATGTAAGGTGTTACTTCAAAAACATAGGAATGTCCTTTACCGTCAAGCTCAAACGGTCATTTTCGCCTACCGTTAGTGTCATATTGGTTAAAATTTTATCGTGATTCGTCAGAGGTCTCAAATAATTATCTGTTACCGTTATTTTTAGAAAAAATTTAATGTGATTCATCAAAATCAGTCGATTTTTTTATCGTCATAAAGAAAATGTACATTTTATCGTCATGCACCAAAAATTAATGTTAACGTCATTTGGCAAGATTTTTTACCCCTATTCATCATGAAGGTATCCCCCATTACGACCCTCGTATATAGTCACAAAATCAGTATTTTGATATGACAATGACATGAATTAGTTTAATAAGTGTCAGACATTATATTTGTTATATTTTTTTTTCAGTTATATTCTAGTAACAGACAATCATATGTATATTTTACGTGAAATTCCAATAAGAAAAGGGATGGCACATATCCAGTCTCGAAGGGCATTGGGAAGTATTGTGAAAATAACATCTAAAAAACGCCATCCTGAGTTGATAACATTTAAATATGGTTCTTTAGAGGATGATTCCGTTGAAGTGACTGATATGGACAGATTCTTAATTCCAAATGCCGGAGAAGCTACTAAAAGGATTAAACAACAAATAGTTAAAGTTTTAGATGCGTTAGACAGATAATTCATATGTGATAGTTGTTCGTGAGGATACCATTAACATAAATGCTGAATACGAAGAGATTATAACAATGATTGATTTTAATTGGTGATTGCTGTCAAAAACCCTGAGCCTCACCATGACATAAGCAGCTTGTTGCATATTTTCAGACAAAATCGTAATAATTAAGCAATTAATAATAAAGTTAAGGCTCATTTGGCCAGGTTTAATCTTTGTAAGGCATTCTGATGTGTGGGTGGGCAGATAAATATAAGATACTGTTTATAAAAGTGAAATGGAATTTTTAAGGATAAGAATAAGTATTAAAAGGCATTTGATTTGAAAAGCTGCATTTATTATAGAGAGATTTATTAGAAAGCCAGATATAAAGAGTGAGAGAAAAGAATGAAATTCAATGCAAGATTGTAGATACAATCAGTTTTATGAGTGTGAATATAAAAATAAGGAGATGTGGTATGATTGCCAATGAGACAACTATCCACCAAAGTTCAAATACAGTGGATGTAAGCAATAAATGTCTCTTCAGTGATGCTCAAGGACAAACTATTCGAAAATTAAAGTATTAAATATTAAAATGATATTAATTTACTGGATTCATTATTATTTACAAGGTACTTATTTTCCAGGATTTCATGGAAATTGGTGAATTAAAATGTTAGATACAAAATACAGATTTCCTATAGGTTTGATTGCAGAATTTGTCAGAACCATGAAATCCTGTTTCCATAAAAATAAGAACCCATGAAAATGAATGAATCTTCAGTAGTTTGATTGTTCCACTTTGAATTTGGAGCAGGAATTTTTTTTTTCTTTTATAAAAATCAGTTAAAGAAAGCAGTAATACAAAATGCCACCTGGCCAAATAAGTCTTTGATTCTTGTGATTGTAAAGTGTTGATGTGTTCAATAGATTGATTTTAGATTAGCAATAGTAAGGGCTTCTTTATACCTGGTAAGCAACGTTGTGCAATATTCATAAAATCATCTCAAAAGAGCTAATCCGATTTAAAAAACAACATACCATAGAAAATTTTATAGTGTATGCATAATTTTACTCCAGAATTATATTGCCACATTGGCTGTGTTTTTTTTTTTTACAGTATAACAGACACTTAAGTGTACAGAAATTGTCATTTTCTATATGTTTATTTGCACTTGTTGTCATATTTTTTTTCCTTCAAAGTAGAAGACACCATAGTTTCTCCTTAGTTTTCCAAATCAATTGAGTTATTTGACTAATCAATATTATAATATAAATTGAATTAAAAATTAAGTATTTACAATGCCTTTAAATGCTGTATATTTTCTTATCCCCTTATTGGTTGTTTCTGTTTTGTCCTACACGTGTACCCATTGCTGATAAAAACATGACTTTTCATTTAATTAAAGATGATTCAAACTCATTTAAGTTTGCAAAAGTTATTATTTCATATTTTATGAAAATGATGAGAATTTGTTTGCATCATAAAAATATTGCAGACGCTCACAGTCATGTATGGCTTGTAACATCAGAATTTCGCCAAATAGAAGAAACTTGGAAAAAAATAGGTGCACACAAAACATGAATATGCACAAAACTCAGCCTACTATTATTATGACAGAAAATTTGATTAAATTTAATTAATTTTACTTCCATCAATATTGCATGATGGTAATTATTGTATAAATAAGCCCTTACATTATATATTCAGAGTGTGATATGTAAGAATGAAAAACTTCTAAGCCCAGTTATATTCTGTTATAAATGTTTATGACCATGAAGATGTGAGCAAATGATAAAAAAAATTATTCAGATTTATTGATATCGTTCAGAAAAGTTATCATTTAGTCAATTTCGAACAAAAAATACGATATCGCTGCATGTTTTACAAGAATTGTTCAGTACTACTACCTGTGACTCATAGTCTTAAATATGTTTGCTGCTTACATTTTCAACTGTTCCTTTTAGAGTGTGGCCCCTCTAGCTTTAGCATGAACAATGTATTTAAAAAATTACCACCAGCAACCCAGTTATTGACAAATTAAAAAAAAAATCTTTAACATGTTAAAAATACACTTATGAAATTCTTGCTCCTCATACAGCTCAAAATTCATTTCTTCCCATACATTTCATATGAAAAATCTAGAAATATATTTCTATTGCCAAAAATTCTACTTTTTCAAATGCTTGTCACTCAAAACAAGCACATAAACCTATCTGTATTTTCTAAAATATTGATGTATTTTTCTTTTTTTTTTTAAAAGACTTCTTTGTATGGAGATGTTGTTTAGCTTCCAAAATCATCATAAATGTTATGGAGCCTATTTTGTTTTATTGGTATGGCATGTTTATTTTATTTAAAAAAAAATATAAATTTGTTTATTTTAAGTGTTCCAGAATCAAAATTATATATACATGAGACTGTTGATATATGTATAGTTTGACAGTAGCTATTTCTGGTCTTTGATATATGTATAGTTTGACAGTAGCTATTTCTGGTCTTTGAAAAAAACCTACTTTATGATTCCAAAATACAAAATTCAAATGAAATGAGTGACATGTCTGCTTTCAAGATAAGTGTTTGCTTAAAAAATTAAACATTTTGTTTAAATACTAGTACATATTTGATTTATAATAACATTTAAAGAAATAGTTGTGTTAGATACAGCTGCCCTTTTTCTACAGGACATTTGAGCTTTGTAAACATAACATTTCAGTTATCATAGTTAAAAGTTTAAAAATCATTTGATATGAAAAAAAAACAAAAAAAACACAAAAAAACAGCACATTCATTAATTTATATACAGCTTAAAGTTGTCCTTTCTTTAGTGGTTGGGTTACTTTTTAACTGACCAATACCCCACAGGATTCTTCTGTTTTTTTTGGAAAATTAATTTCAATAAGTCCATAGGAATGTTGCCATCCCTTGACTTTGGTAAATCTAGTTAAGATTACAGGTAAACTTATAAAGGTAAAAAGCACAAATGTCCGGTCAATTTGGTTTAGGTGTATCAAAGTTTAAAGTGCAAATGTCCATATTTTTTAAGTGCAAGTGTCCTGTTATGTTACAGGTAAAAAAGCGCAAATGTCCTGTGCCCTGTTAAATATAATGGGACTTATTTCAAACAATTATATAGGTTTATCATTTAATATATACTCATGATATACATTTTACTTACAATGGGTAAGCATGAAGAAATTTGTGATTCTAGTACAGTATGATGTGATTTATAATAATAGGAATTCATGATACTATCAAATAATTATTGTAAGTGGCTGCAATTTAACCCATTTAAAAAAATTGTGAATTATTATTGTCAATAACGGCAAGTTAGGCATGAGCTAAACAATTATACCCTCATACCCTTATGATTTATGATAAGTAAGTAAATAATTTATTTTAATTTAAGCAAAAACATCCTATCCAATACAATGAAAATCAGTCCTGTTGAAGATTTGGTTAGAAAATTATTTTAAACTTGATTAAATGTTATTTATTAAATCACATAAATTTAATGGGGAACAGTTAACAATTTAATTTTGGTTTCAGTTTGAAAGAGAATACTGTTTATTAATTTATTTTCATGGATATTCGTTTTCGTGGATTGAGAAAAACTTGCATATTCATGGATATTTGATTTCTTGGTTTTGTTTAAGTCACCCTATATTCCTATAGAACATTTTGTAATTCGGTGAACGTTTAAATTTGTGGTTTCGAGGTATCAACGGAATCCAAGTAAATTGGTATCCAAAGAAAATTAATGAATCCACAGGACAAGAAAATCATTTGCAGTCATATTGCAGATTTGGTTAGATGATTTTTTTTTAAATCTGGATAAAATCGATTAAATATTTATTATCATAAAAAAATTAAATGGGGAACATTAATTTATTACTTCACGCTGAAAAAGAATATAATGAATGTATAAATAATTGGTTCTGATTATGATAAAGTTTTTGCTTTGCTTTTAAAGCCTGATGGTTACTCTCGGCATGTTATGTGTATCATTAGTTATATTACAATCATTATTAGTCATTTGAATAATAAGGAGCTGCTATTATTTTTCCTTTACCAGGTGAGCAATACTGGCTACCGTGAGCCCCATATTTATTACAGGAACTGAAAACTAGATTTTAGATATGATTACAGTGAATCATTCTGTATCTAACATCACATCTTTTTCCAGAAAATATATTATGAATTTTATTGGTTGTAAACTGAATAATATAGTTATTTATTTATACATATGATCATTATTTATTATCAATGTGTATATTGGTTGAACTGCTTCGTAGGTTTTGTTATGAAAGTTTTTTTTTGTGTTAGCAAGTATTTATACTTTGAAAGCAGATGGCACAAAATCTTTGATTTAGTTTGTGAGAAATTAGAGACCATTGTTTATCATTTGCTATCAAAATTTGCTGAATGTTTGATGCCAAATTTATCCTGATATAAGCCCCTGGGGGAATTGTATTTTTCTGAGAAAGGAGGGGCCTAAAAAAAATGTCTGAAAACTTATTTTATTGTAGTAATTGTAGTAAATAAACCATTTTGTAAGACGTTTCAGCCACTGGCCTTCTCATTTACAAAGTCTGGAATCGGTACTGAATGTAAATAAAGGCAACAGTAGTATACCGCTGTTCGAAACTCATAAATCGATAGAGATAAATACAAATCCGGGTTACAAACTAAAATGGAGGGAAACGCATCAAATATAAGAGGAGAACAATGACACAACAAAAACACAACATTAAAATGTAACACACACAGAAACGAACTATAATATAACAATGGCCATTTTCCTGACTTGGTACAGGACATTTTAAGAAAAAAATGGTGGGTTGAACCTGGTTTTGTGGCATGCCAAACCTCCCTCTTTTATGGCAACTTCAAACACAACACCAAAACGACAACATCACATGACCGGACCACAATACAAATAAATGTAAGTTATTCAATTAACAGGGCTGCAGCCCAAAAACATAGATTGCAATTAATTGTCAGGACTAGTACTGTAGCCCAAAAATATATCATGAAAACAAAATTAATAAAAAAATGAAATTGTCAGCCTAGAAAGTTTGTTATTTAGGTTTGGTTTAGTGAAAAATTAGAATTTACAATAGATTTTTACCAACAAATTGAAAGGGGATTGATGGGTGGGCATCTTTTTTGACTGGGGCTCATATAAGGATAAATATGGAGATCTTATGCTTACATACATAAGCTTTTCACCACAAAGAATAGGTATTACATACCCAATAAATAAATTGCATTACATGTTATATCTTATCTATAGTAAAATACTCTTTTTAAAAAAGGCCATTCAAAGATAATATTATAACCCACCTTAGTTTAAGAAGATCCAATCTATCAACTTAAATTTCTTGCAGATATATTTTTTCATTACTGTTAATTCAGAAATTATTGCATGCATTTATTATTGCGATTTTTGAGGAATGGACAAAAATGCGAGATTTATAATTGCGATTATAGGAAAATCTAAATTTAGATATATGTATCATATTTCAGAGTGCAAGTTCTTATTATTGCGATACTCGTCCAGTTGCAGTATTCGCATTAATAAAAACTTGGCAATAATTTCTGAATTTACAGTATTACTTTGAGTAATTAGTTCCTTTGACTAAATTAATACAATGCACTTGATGCATCTCTTCAGGAAATAGGTGAAAAACTAAATTTCACTCTCTAAGAAAAAATAATAAAATTGTAGCAGGTTAAATTTAGCGTTATAGTTTATTTTTGGTGATTTAAAAAAAAAAGAAGCTGTTTTTATGCTGATATAAGAGAAAGCATTTTAATAGCCAATTGGTAGTTCTTATAATGTTTGTTATACAATTGACAAAAACAATTTTTGCTGTGTTGATACTTAGTATTCAAGTGAAAATTTCATAATTATTAAAAATAAAAAAAAGGATTTAAATGAGATAGATTATGAACTTTTGCTCATACATGTACTAAGAACAAAAACGAGAACTTCTACAAATCAGAAAGATTTATCTTTGAATGGTTAAGTGTACCACAGTTGTATAATCATCATCTGTCATTTTCATGCATAGCTTGTTAGTTCACTGAAAATTGCAAGTACAGTTGCATTTTAATTATGTTTAGAAAAAAATAATGCCAAGCTTTAATAGATTTTAAATTATTCAAATGCAGGAAAACATAGTCCATTGTAAGTTTTCGAACACCTAAGGTCACATAAAAAACTGATCTAAATACCTCGGTATGTATATTCTATATAAAATTATGAAGAATAAATTTAAATATTTTTATGAAATTGTCCAGAAAAGACAATTAACCGGTTATCATTTCAAAAACATTTTACTATATATGACCTATTTACTGGAAGCAAACATTTTTCTGTAAAAAGAATATTAACCGTTTTTTTCTAATTTTAAGATCACAAAGATATTGTTATAGGAGAAGGTATTATAAGGTCCCATTTTGGCTTCTATATTTAGACTAGACTAACTATAGGGGCCAAAATAGGCCTAATAATACCATCTTCTTTACCAATATTTACTATACAAGGGTTAATAATTAGGACAGATGATGGATATATAGCATGCGTCTTCAATGTGATATTTCTTTATTTATGTTGTTACGACTTTGTTGTAGTTTTGAATTTGTAAAAATAATGGATTTTACTTGTATCGATAATTTATTGTAATCTATTATAAAGGATTAATTAAAGCAAAACAAGACAAAGGTGTTTTATTCTGAAATGACAGTTATAGAATGAATTTACAAACAATTGCTCTGAAAGTTTACAGTTTAAGTATATGATAGCATTATATCTATATCTACAGCCAGTACAGGATAAGTACTAAAAACCATAATAGCTTAATATTGATATTTGTCAGCAACTTGGCAATGACGTGTTGTAACTTGTGAGCACTTTTCCGATCTGTCAGATACCAACTTCCAGATTGTTGTTACTTTGAATTTTTAAGTTCATTTAGCCATAAATATAATAGCATCTATGGTTTAATGAACTTCAAAATATTTATTCACTTTTTTCTCCAATTGTTCAGAACAGAATGAGCTCAACCTTAATGAGTTGTAATTAGTGTGCATGTTTCAGATCTATCAGACATCTTCCTATTTTCCTATACTTTGAATTACCTGTGGGGGTATGCTTAGTACTATACTGACGGACTTTAAACCGCAACATTAGATTATTCTTTTAATTCTCATTTTCAAATATGCAATTCATGTAAAATAAATTTCATTCATTACCCTGTTGTCTTAAAAAAGTTTGCAGTTCGCAAGTTGAATTGATTACATAATGTTAAATGTTCAAATCATGTGGTATGTGCTGAAACCCTGGTTTTCCCCTTATCAATGGATGTGTCACCTTCGAAGGCAATGACTACCTGTAACCAACACTTAAGTGATAAGCAGAAAAGTTGACCAGTTCTGTTGGGAAGTTTTGAGGTCTGTTT